TCCCGCGGAGCAGGGAGCCTGATGCGGGGCTCGATCCCAGGACCCTGGGATCATGACCTGAGCTGAAGGCAGACACTTGAGGACTGAGCCACCCAGGCTCATGTCTCTCTGTCAAATAAATAAAAATTAAAAAAAAAAAAGAATTGACCATGAAAAATAGCTACAACTCATCTCCTGCTGGTATCAATGTGTCTAACAGCTGCAAGTCACTGCTTTCCCACTCTGGGGTCACACAGTCACCAAGGGATTGCTCTCTTTACTACCACCAATGCTGTCTGCTACAAAAAAAAAAGAAGATGGTCAATTCTGTCCTCCCCTGTATTTCACAGGTTGAAAAAAATATCAATGTTAAGAAAAGAAACAAAGAAAAATGGAATAGCAGTGGGCACAACTGTGGTTTATAATAGTTTCTGATAATTCTATATCATTCAACTTCCCAATTCCTTAACCTTTATTCATCCTTCGCTCTACTCTCACAGAATTGCTTGAATCCTCAAACACCAAATTGTGGTCACTCAAGCTGACTCTGGAGGTGGCAGCTTGGTTCATCTTGCTTATTTTCATCTTGGAGATCCTTCTTATGTGGATATCCAGCTTTTTCCTCTTCTGGAAGAATGCCTGGAATGTCTTTGACTTTGTTGTCACCGTATCGGTAAGGATAGATATCCTGAGGATTAGTTTAGTGGGTTGAGGAATGAGCCTAGGTGAATCAAAATGACAGGAAAAGTTAATTAGATCACAAGAAGAACATCATTATTTTGATTTTTTTTTTTCTAAAACTGAAGTCAGTCATTTCAGGAGTTGTTGGTATTAGGAGCAAGACAGAATCTAACCACAACATTAGCCCCAACAAGAACATCTACCAGTTACTAAGCACTTACTAAGTGCCAGGCACTGTTCTAAGTGTTTTACGAGTATTTTCTCATTTGAGCTCCACAACAACCCAGTGAGATAAGTACTGTGTTTATCCCCTTTTTATGTTGGAGCAAACTGAAGTGCAGAGTTTAAGTAATTTAGTAGAGGAAGGCTCAATTGGAAACAGTCCTCAGAGAATGCTGTTCAAGAGATAATGCCCAATGAACTATGAAGAAGATGAGATAAAGAAAGGGGTAATTGTGCAAGGGTACTTTGGGTACATTTTACTCATAATCTATGTGTTTCCCACAGTCCCTGCTTCCTGAGGTTGTGGTGCTGGTAGGGGTAACAGGCCAGTCTGTGTGGCTCCAGTTGCTGAGGATTTGCCGGGTGCTAAGATCTCTCAAACTCTTTGCACGATTCCGTCAAATTCGAGTCATTATTTTGGCCCTGGTGAGGGCTCTCAAGGTGATTTGACTGTTGCAGCTAAACTAACTGGGCAGGGTGGATAAACATTGGAATTTAACATAAAACAAGTCTGGGTGGGTCAAAGAGGTCAACAAGGGACCCTTTGAAATGTCATTGGATGAGAAAGGGCTGGGGAAAGCTGCTGTGATCTAGAGATAACTGGATTCGGGAGTGGAAGTGAGGGTTTGGTGGGTGATTGCCAGGGTGGGCTTGACTCTGCTGTAGGTGGAATCAGCCTAGTCTGGCCCAGCTCTGACTCGAGGTCATGGTCTCTAGAGCATGACCTTCCTCTTGATGTTGCTGCTCATCTTCTTCTACATTTTTGCTGTGACTGGTGTCTACTTCTTTGAGGATTTCACCCGTTCAACTCGCCAGGACCTGAAGTACCACATGTTCTTCTCGTAGGCAGGACTGGGGGAATCGTGGGTGGGGGGAGAGGGTTTGGGCAAGAAACTGGGAAGCTAGTCCAAAGTAAGTAATACAGAAAGTATAGTCTATTGTGAGAAACTGGAATAGAACACAATAGGGAAAAAATAAGAGAAAGCAAAGGAATAGTGAGTAGTATTAGCTCTGATTTTGAGGATAGGGTGGCTAGTTCCAGGTTTGCTCTGGGTTTTGAAATTTAAACATCCCCTCCTCAACCATCTTTAGATAGCAGTATACTCCAGTGATTAAGCTCTGGTTTCTATGCCTCAATTACCTCTTTTGAAAAATGGAAATAATAGTTGCACTACCTCATAAGAGTGTAGGAATTAAAGTAATGCATTTTTGCACTTAGCACAGATTTTGACACAGTGTAAGTGATCAACACATGCTACTATGACTCTCAAACAGGTCACTGGTTCTACCCCAAAGTCTAGGTGTGGGGGTTACACACCGAACAGAAGATTGGAATCCAATCTTGTCAGCACCTCTTAGGTCTCAGACTAACAGACTAACAGGTAGCTTTATAAGAGTATTGAGTTAGGAGAGTCCTAAATATTTGTGTGCATGTGTAACCCCCTGTTCGGTGAAGTCCATAGAACAGTGAAGAATGAACTTACAAAAAAAGATATGCAGTTGGTGATTCATTCAATTTTTAAAAATTCAGCCAGTACCTATTTATTGAGCACTTACTATGTTCCAGGCGCTAATGGAATAGTGAGAGATATTCATGGATTATTCATGATAAAGGAAAACCTAATAAAACAACTGCAAACTGAAGAAAGCTTAGCTAAAAAATTGATAGAAAGAAGCCAAAGTCAGAGCAAACTACAAAGAAATGTTCTTATGTTGTTTTAAGAGTAAAACAATACGTTTCTGAGAGATTTAGATTTCTGTTCTGTCTGTACCCACACGTCCTTTTTCTCTAGGGACCTGCTGAATTCCCTAGTGACAGTGTTCATCCTCTTCACCATGGACCATTGGTACGCACTGCTTCAGGATATCTGGAAGGTGCCTGAAGTCAGCCGTGCCTTCAGCAGCATCTATGTCATCCTTTGGTTGTTACTTGGTTCCATTATCTTTCGAAACATTATAGTAGCTATGATGGGTAAGCACAGAAGAGGGAAAACTTGGTTGTGAGGGGTAGCGGGGAAGAAATTAGGGTGAAAGTTAGGATTGGTAGATTATGTATAGAGAGAACCTGAGGTAGCAAGAAGTCTTGGGGCCTGGAATGGATATTTCACTTGGTTTCGCCCCACCCAAGCCCTCTCTCCAGGTCTATTTACCACCATATCCCACCTCCTAATGGCCCTTCGGGGCAGTTACTAATTTCCAGAATATCAGGAATGAGCTGAATGAGGAGATGACACATCTGGAGGTTCAGCATAAAGCCGACATATTCAAGCGGCAGATTATCCAGAGGTCTGCTGCCCCATTTTCAAACTCAAGTTTAGTTCCTCATTCCCTTTTTCTACTCCTTAGCCTTGACCCCGTTTTTCCCTTCCTTTCCACAGAAGATTTGCCCCAGGTTTAGAATTCTCCAGCTCTAGGGGTGCCTGGGTGGCTCAGTTGGTTGGGCGTCTGCCTTAGGCTCAGGTCATGATCCCAGGGTCCTGGAATTGAGTCCCACATCGGGCTCCTGCTAAGCGGGGAGCCCACTTCTCCCTTTCTCTCTGTCTGCAGCTTCCTCTGCTTGTGCTCTCTCTCTCTCTCCATCAAATAAATAAAATCTTTTTAAAAAAAGAGAGAGAATTCGCCAGCTCTAGAATATTGCCTGATTCTTTATCCGTTGTTGGGACTTTCCCACTCTTTTTCACCTTCTTACTACAATGTGTTCTCCTTAGTTTTCTTCATTTTATGATCTGAATTCTTTTTTCCTTACCACGCTCCTGCATCAGTATAACTCTCTTCACTCTTCTGTGTTTTTTGCTTTACAGGAGACAAAACCTGTCCCCTGAAGCAATGAGGTCAAGCCTAAGCAAAGTGGATGCCAGGTTAGGAGTGTAAATGTGAACCGGGATAGACAAACGTGAACGAGGAGAGGGTGGAAAACTAAAGATGAAGATTGACTTTGAGAGATAATCCATTTATTCAATAACTATTTATTGTAGTAGGTTGAGTGGTGGCCCCGCAAAAGAAATATCCATGTCCTAACCCCCTGGGACCTGTGAACATGACTTTATTTGGTAAAAGGGTATTTGCAGATGCAATTAAGTTAAGGATCTTGAGATGCAATCACCCTGGATTATCCAGGTAAGCCCTAAATGCAGTGACAAAGGCCCTTATAAAAGGCAGAAGAGAAGACCTAGACCTTGAAGAGGAGAAGATGTGAAGATGGACATAGAAATTGGAGAATTGGAGTGATGCAACTGGAAGCCAATGAATGCTAGGCAACTGCCAGAAGCTAGAGGAAGCAAGGAACCTTCTCCCCTAGAGCTTCCAGAGGGAGTATGGCCCTGCTGACACCTTGATTTCAGACTTCTGTCTTCCAGAATTGTGAGAGAATAAGTTTCTGTTATTTTAAGCTACCAAGTTTTTGGTAATTTATTACAGCAGCCATAGGAAATTGATACAAGTACCTTTTTTTTTTTTAATTTTTTTTATTCTTATGTTAATCCCCATACATTACATCATTAGTTTTAGATGTAGTGTTCCATGATTCATTGTTTGTGCATAACATCCAGTGCTCCATGCAGAATGTGCCCTTCTCAATACCCATCACCAGGTTAACCCATCCTCCCACCCCCCTACCCTCTAGAACCCTCAGTTTGTTTCCCAGTTTGTTTCATCGTCTCTCATGGTTCGTCTACCCCTCCGATTTCCCCCCCTTCATTCTTCCCCTCCCACTACCTTCTTCTTCTTTTTTTTTTTTCTTAACATATATTGCATTATTTATTTCAGAGGTACAGATCTGAGATTCAACAGTCTTGCACAATTCACAGCGCTTACCAGAGCACATACCCTCCCCAGTGTCTATCCCCCAGTCACCCCATCCCTCCCACCCCACCCCCCACTCCAGCAATCCTCAGTTTGTTTCCTGCGATTAAGAATTCCTCATATCAGGGCGCCTGGGTGGCTCAGTTGGTTGAGCGACTGCCTTCGGCTCAGGTCATGATCCTGGAGTCCCTGGATCGAGTCCCGCATCGGGCTCCCTGCTCGGCAGGGAGTCTGCTTCTCCCTCTGACCCTCCCCCCTCTCATGTGCTCTCTCTCATTCTCTCTCTCTCAGATAAATAAAATCTTTAAAAAAAAAAAAAAAGAATTCCTCATATCAGTGAGGTCATATGATACATGTCTTTCTCTGTTTGACTTATTTCGCTCAACATAATACCCTCCAGTTCCATCCACGTCGTTGCAAATGGCAAAATCTCATTCCTTTTGATGGCTGCATAATATTCCATTGTATATATATACCACATCTTTTTTTTTTTTTAAAGATTTTATTTATTTGACAGAGAGAGGCACAGCGAGAGAGGGAACGCAAGCAGGGGGAGTGGGAGAGGGAGAAGCAGGCTTCACGCGGAGCAGGAAGCCCGATGCGGGGGCTCGATCCCAGGACCCTGGGATCATGACCTGAGCCGAAGGCAGACGCTTAACGACTGAGCCACCCAGGCACCCCTATACCACATCTTCTTTATCCATTCATCTGTCGATGGACATCTTGGCTCTTTCCATAGTTTGGCTATTGTGGACATTGCTGCTATAAACATCGGGGTGCACGTACCCTTTCGGATCCCTACTTTTGTATCTTTGGGGTAAATAGCCAGTAGATACAAGTACCTTCTATGAGACAGATGTTATTCTAGACCCTGAGTATTCAGCACTGGACAAGTGAGCAGAAGGAGAAACAAGAAACTCATTCATCCATTCAAGAAATAATTATTTTTGGGGCACCTGGCTGGCTCAGTTGGTAGAATGTGTGACTCTTGATCTTGGGGTCATGAGTTCAAACCCCACATTGAGCATGGAGCCTACTTAAAAAAATAATTATTATTATTTATATAAACTTTTTTTTATTAAGTAAACTCTACACCCAACATGGGGCTTGAACTCATTATCCCAAGTTCGAGTCACATGCTGTACTGACTGAGCCAGTCAGGCGCCCCAAGAAATAAATATTGAATACTCATTAGGTGCTTGGACTGTGTCAGTGAACAAAATAGGCAATAATGCCTGTTCTCACGGAGATTACATACCGGCAAGGGGAAAGAGACAATAAACAATGAATATATAAAATGAGTAAATTAATATATTAGAATATGATAAGCATTATGAAAAAATAAAAAATAAAATAGGTGAAAAGGGATTGTAATATAGGGTGGGGATTGCAGATGGGTTATAATTTTAAACAAGGTAGTCAGGATGGCCTCATTGAAAAGGTAACATTTGAACAAAGACTTAGAGGAGGGGAGGGGATTACTGTTTGGCTTTCTATGGGAAGAGTGTCATAGGCAGAGGGAACAGCTGATGTGCTTGAAAAACATCAAAGAAACCACTGTGACTAGAGCAGGGTGACCAGTGGGGGAGAGTGCTAGAAGATGAGGTCAGAGAGATAATGGGGACCTCATCCTGTAGGGCTATGAGGGCCATTATAGAGACTTAGGCTTTCACTCTGAGTGAAATGGAGAGCAGCAGAGTAGAGCAGTGACATGAAGTGACTTACACTGAAGAAGGATTTCTCTGGTTGCGGTTGATGCACTGTAGAAGAACAAGGGAAGAAGCAGAGAGACGAGTTAGAAGGCTAAAGCTATCCAGGCAAGAGGTGATGATGGCTCAGACAACAGTGGTACCAGTGAGAAAAGATGTATTTTTAAGGTAGAATCAATAGGATTTCTTGGTTGATTGGATGGAGTATAAGAGAAGAGTTGAGAATGACTCCAAAGTTTTGGCCAGAGTAGCTGGAAGGATGGATTAGCTGAGATGGGGAAGGCTGGGAGTGGAAGAGGTTTGATGGGCAAAGAGTTCAGTTTGGGTTGAATTTGAGATGTCTATTAGACATTCAGCTGGTGATGATATGTGAGTAAAAGTTGTATATCCAAGTCTGGATTGAGGAGTGAAATCTGGACTAGAGGTTTAAATTTGCATTTGGAAGACATTTAAACTCAGGAGAAGAGATCACCAAAGGAATGACTGTAGATGGGGAAGATAAAAAGGTAAGAGCTGAGCCTCAGGGCCCCTCAAGATATAGAACTGAGAGGGCAAACTATAGTTGTGGTGTAACAGGCATAGAGCTACGGAGCGAGGAGCTAAAACTTAGCAAAATAAGGTGGAGTGTGGAATGCAGGGCCTGAGTAAAATGGAACACAGAAGCTATGTGGTGAGGGGCACTAACAGGGATATACCACGCAGGATCGTTGAAGTTGGAAGTGCTTAAAAGCTCAAATTTTGGGAGCAGTTTGGCCCTCATGACCTTAAGTCCCAGCTTCAGGGGATGGCAAGGGCCAGGGCCGGCATAATGAAAGAACTAGTCATATCTCATAAATGTATTTGAAGGAATAAAATATCTCCTTTCACTTATAGAGATGCCAGCCAACAAAGAGAATCTTTGGACTTATCAAAAGCTTTTGAAGAAGAGTCTAAACACAGTGCTGATGAAGAGGGTTCAAGAACATCTGCACCGAAAATAAAAGATTCCTTGTCAAAAACGAAGAAGTCCTCATCTTCCTCCTCCTCCTCTTCCTCTTCCTCTTCTTCCTCCTCATCTTCATCTTCCTCCTATTCCTCTTCTTCTGAGTCCAGATATTTAGATTCCATTGGTAAGCAGAGTTTCTTTCATTTGAATTCAGACTCCTCCAGGAGACATCCCAATCTTAATAGGAGCTCTCCCACTATATCTACTTCCCAGTTTTCTCCACCAGTCTGACTTTCTGGTCTTAATTGCTTGCTTTGTGCTTTCTTTCATTTCCCCTGTACTTCTGCTTCACTTTGGGTAAGTGTGGCCATGGCTGTCTTTGCTTACTGTAAAAAGTTGTCTCTCAGTGATGTTCCCTTTCCCCTCCCTGATTCCTGTTTACTCTTGCATCCCTGCTTTTCCTTCCCACATGATAGGATCTATTAGCTCTTATCCAACTTCCACAGATCTAGACATGTTTTTAAGAAGCATTCCTCCCTCCAGGTCCGTTGGACTGGGAGACTCATGTGCACCAGAATCTGCCTGGGCTAATGGAAATGGATCAGGATGACCATGTCGTTTGGCCTAGAGATTCACTCTTCCGATATTTTGAATTGCTAGAAAAACTTCAGTATAACCTAGAGGAGCGTAAGCGGTTGCAGCAGTTTGCAGGTATGGATTCAGGGCAGTCATGGGGACCAGGGGTTAAGTACGTTGGAGTAACATATTGGACTAGCATATATAACTGGGGAGAAGGAGGAGAGTGTCCACTATTTGGGCATTTCAGCTTCTGAATTTCCACCTCGCACTTAAAAAGGCAATTCCTTGGTTTGGTATGTCACATTCTTATGTCCTGATTTCTTATAATCTAGAGAGAAACTGACAGCTTGCTTCTCCAGTAGGGAAAACCTAACTCCTATGAGGTCCGAGCTTGTTTCCCAAGAGGAAGTGTCCACTTGCAGGTGTTGGGTGTTAGTATAAGGTGGGCTCTTGCTCGGTTTGTGCAGTGCTCTCCCTTTTGGACCTGTTTCTGCTCTCTGAAGGGCATACTTCAGACCTGAGCAGTAGGGCCTTACCCTCAACTTGGATAGCAATGGGGATCAGACAGTGAGCAGAGAGCTCACAAGTGCCCACTGCTTCCAGGCCCCAAAAGAGGTTTATGAATTGTAGGCTTTTCTTCCTTTCAGACCCTTCTAGTGTCAGCCTAGACAGAAGTATGTACATTATTTAAATAGTAGAGTTAATTTAAGTGGAAAACTACTTGCTCAAAATTATTTCCCCTAAATTGCTCCTTTGAAATGTCACCACTGAGAGATGAATTGACGTTAATAAATTCTCCCTCTAAAAATACAAAAACTGGAAAAGTTAGGGGCCATTTTTTATAATTTAATAGGGATTAGTGTTGTCTTTCTCATACCTAATTGTCAGCTTAATGTAAAAATAACAATGAGGAAAGAGGAATGTGTGTGTGGCAGGCACAGGAGGGCAATCAGAGGAATTTGTAACGGTGAAACATGAAATTTAGAGCAGGATGTCACAGACAGGCTTTGCCTGCTTCATAATGTTGCGTAAGGTTAATCCTGTTCTTTCCAGTTGTCCTCAGTCCTGCCTTCCCACTTGTTCTCTGGGTAGAAACAGGGTGAAAGAGAGGAAAAGGAGCAAGGTAGCTTCTTTAATCTGGGTTAATTCATCTATGGCAGAGAGTACTGCCTCATAGGGCTTAATGAAAGTAAAGGTTCATAAAGATTTGTGTGGGAGCCTAGAACCCAGAAAAGCAGAGTCTTTTAACATTTGTATGTCCTGAATATTCTTAGCTTTGTAGCCTCACAGCCCCGTCTCTTTACAGTGCAGGCACTGATGAACTTTGAAGACAAAGAAAGCTGACAATGGATGGCTTCGATTTCTTTGGCAAAAATTAATGAAAGGAATAGTTGGAAATGGAAAACTCAAAGTATAAATGTCTAATAAATACTGTTGATAATTACTTAGTGGTCTGTCTCTGAGACATAGGGAATACGGAAATGTTTAAAGTCAGGCTGAAAAAATTAGTTCAGGTGCCATTGGGGCCCATGGTCCTTGCCTTTCTACTCTTTCTACAGCTCCTGAATCTCACTTCTTTCTTGACTTTGTCATTGTAACCCCCACCCTTCCTGCATCCTTTACTTCCTGGTAGAGTCCTAATTTTACCGTCTCCCTCCCTGATGGGTACAGGCCTCTGGGGGTGGGAGGGTAAAGAGATCCCAGGAGCTGTACGGTAAATAATTGAGAACTATTGTTTCCATTGCCTATTCTATGAACACTGCTTCTCCTATCCACCATTAACTTTCATCAAACATCAGGGCGCCTGGGTGGTTCAACTGGTTAAGCCTCTGACTCTTGATTTCTCTTCAGGTCATGATCTTAGGGTCGTGGTATCAAGGCCCTTATCGGGCTCAGCACTCAGCGCAGAGTCTCCTTGTCCCTCTCCCTCTGCTCCTCCCTGCCACTCACATGTGCTCTCTCACTCTCTCTCTCTCGAATAAATAAATAAGATCTAAAAAAAAAAGCTCTTTAGGGCGCCTGGGTGGCTCAGTTGGTTAAGCGACTGCCTTCGGCTCAGGTCATGATCC